ATACAACTCAGTCTGAGTTATTCTTGCTGACAATGTTAAACTCGGGTTTGGATCAATCGTTTCAACACTTTCTTGATGTCTTAGAAACGGATTTTGCCTTTATCCGTGACAAGTTGACTGCTCCTGTGGAGGAAATGGGCCATGATTTAAAATGTCTAACAATCTAAATTGAAACTTTAAAGTGGCTTTTTTCTTATAGCCGTTTTCCTTTTTTACTTAATATTTTGTGTTCCAAGTGTGGAAAAGTGATACATAACACTATAAGTCGATATTGCAAGCGTGATGGAAGCTAGTACCCAGACATTCTCCAACTCACCGTTGGATCAAATTTGTCGTGAGGCAGAGTCTATGGCAGAAGATTTACTTATTACTTTTGATCAAGTGAATCCTAAAAAGCCTCCCAATAAATATTGTCGCACCTTACGGCGTACTGTGAAAGAGCTGTCAGATCGGCATGATTTAGTTTTAACCGGGTTGGTCAACAGACTAAAACCAGATGAAACAAATGCATTTCCAACTTTTGTTATTGTTGCGGATGAAATCTTTGCTGATGGACAAGTAAACTGGGGAAGGATTGTTGCTGTTTATGCCTTTGCTGCACGAGTTGTCAAGTATTACATTGACCATAATAAAAATGAACAATCTGATAACATAAATGAATCCTATTCTTCGAGGTCCATACCTTACCAAAAGAAGTTTGCCTTATTTGTTGGAAAATATGTTGCTAACAAACTTGGAAAATGGATTCTCGACAATGGAGGATGGGTAATTATTTTATTTTTTATAGTTTTAAGTAGACCTAAAGACTATCGTATAGTTAATAAAAAATATTAGTTTAGATGCCCTAGGCAAGGCTTTCCGTCTGGAAATTATACGTTATCGTTGGACACAAAGAGAAAAAACATATGTCTTACTATAACTATATGTATTATTCTTAATTTTCAGGATGGATTCGTTGAGTTTTTTCCAGCTCAATCGGAACTGGCTGAAAAGATATGGAAATGTGTTTTATTTACTGCTATTGGCTTTGTAGGATTTGGAACCGTATCCATAATAGTCGCCTCAAGATAACGCCGACACCTGGACAAACGAACACTTGTAAAAAACACAAGGGTCGTCTTTACCTCTTAAAAATAATTTCAATAACCTATTAAAATGTATGACTTAAAATAACTATGTTTGTTTCGGACAAAAAAAAAAAAAACGATTAAAATGTATGACTCCTGTTATTTTCTATCTGTTGTTGATGTATATACTTTACTAATAAACATTACAATTTTTAAAATTTTTAGAACCCTTGTCACTAAAAGTCCTTTACCCACGTATCGCTTACAATCCCCCGCCCCTATGGTCACTTGTAATGGTTGTGTCTACCCTCAGACCATCGAAAAAATTTCATCTAAACAAAGGGGTCTAAATCTTTCTAATACACTACCTGTTAATACCCAGATTCCTGCTATAGTAACACCCCTCATTCCCCCAGTCCAATAGATGAGATCCCTTGTACTAAAACACCTGTTAGATTTGCCTTACGTCCAGGTGTCTACCCATAGTCGACCAGTTCATGCATGGTGGGAAATGACATGGGAAACAGGGTTAATCCGTACATTTCTTACGTTTTATTCTCAGTGGAATGCCTAGTGTTTGTTATGAAGTCTGTCGGAATATCTGATAGAACCAAGAGGGAGCCCTGTCCGTATAAAATACACAACCCTACTTTTAAAATTTCTTGTCGCTAGCTCCCTGGGCGCCATTGTTGTTTATGGTCTACCCAGAGCGCCCCGCCACTCACAGAAACACATCAGCCCTTTTGTTAACAAGCGTAGCGGGGAAATGTGAACAATGGCCGAGCTGTGACCTTTGGTTACAATGCGCAGTGTAGCGTGACTTGTGAGCGCAGGTGTGGTGATGGTATGTCTTGTAAGTCATTGATAATTAAAAAATATAACCCCCTAGACTAAAAATGTAAACAACACACTACAATAACTCTAATTAGGACCCTACGCGGTCCTCAAAATTGACAAGAAGAAACTTAAAACATCTGTCATGCGTACAAAACATAATCCACTAAGCCTAAAAATTTAAACAACACACTACAATTACGATAACTATGAGCCAACTCGGTCCGCAAACTTGCCAAGAAGAAGCTTAAAACCACCTGTCCTGCCTACCAAACCATATACAATAGACAAGAAAACTAATTCAAATACAAGAAAATATGCAAACAAAACACTTTGAGAACCCGCTGAAAATGAGCAATATTTGATTACTCATCAATAAAATGCAATAAACTTATCCTGTTACAACCGCATTATTCAATAACAAGAAGAAAACGACCCTACTTGGTCCTCAAGATTGACAAGAAGACGCTAAAAACCACCTGTCCGACCTACCAAATCATATACAATAGACATGAAAACTAATTAAAATACAAGAAAATATACTATCAAAACACTTTGAGAACCTACTGAAAATGCGAAATATTTGCTTGCTCATCAATAAAATTCAATAAAGTTATCCTGTTACAACCGCATTATTCCATTACGAGTAGAAAACTCGTTATGATTCACACCTAATGAGAACCACTTATTAGAAAATCAACCCCAACATACTTTGAGACCCACTCGATAAGATTCTCCTTATGTCTTATAATAGCGCTTTTGAAAATTCGTTAAAAATATTACAAAGAGACTGAAAACCCGTTCAAAATAAAGACCTCCCCACCCCCATATCCCCTGAATAACGCTGGTATGCGCGTACATTCCATGACCCCTACCTCCTCCCCGCATACCTATCGTTGGCCCGATTCATTTTTCCACGCCCTGCCCGCCCCCTCACTGGTTACGACTCGTCCAGGTGACGACGTGTTCCATGGTATGTTTCGCGCTTCGCGTCCTATGGTCGGTTACTCACCCACGTGTAGACCGGATCCTTGGTTTGTAAAGCCTATGGAAAAAATATATCTCAATGGTTCTCGTATTATTAAGAACACCAATTAAAAATATAACCCCCTAGACTACTCGGTCCTCAAACTTACCAAGAAGAAGCTAAAAAATCACCTGTCCTGCCTACCAAACCATATACACTAGACAAGAAAACTATTAAAAATATAAGAAAATATACAACCAAAACCCTTTGAGAACCCCTTGACAATGAGAAATATTTGATTACTCATCAATAAAATTCAATAAAGTTATCCTGCTACAACAGAATTATTCCATAACGAGAAGAAAACTCGTTATGATTCACACCTAATGAGAACCACTTATTAGAAAATCAACCCCGACATCGTGATAACCACTTTAAATATACAAGAAAACTAATTAAAAATATTTAAAAAAACTATTAAAATGCAACAAAAAATGACCCCCATACATTGAGAATCACTTAAAATAACAAAAAATGACCCCAACACTTTGAGAATACCTTAAAATAGACAAGAAAACTAATTAAAATACAAGAAAAATTATACCCAAAACACTATGAGAACCCCTCAATGTATAATAAAAATCATGACTCTGTTGATTGTTACGCACTATTGTGATTCTGTCGAATCATTGAAAACTTGTGCAATAAATATTGTGTAATAAAATATTGTGATTCTGTCGAATCATTGAAAACTTGTGCAATAAATATTGTGTAATAAAATATTGTGATTCTGTCGAATCATTGAAAACTTGTGCAATAAATATTGTGTAATAAAATATTGTGATTCTGTCGAATCTTATCTTTGTATAATTAAAAAGTATGCAAATTGAAAAAATTGAATCATGCAAATGTCATAATAAATATTATGCAAATTAAAACATTGTGATTCTGTCGAATCATACGCTTGTCATAAAATATAAATAAAAGTAATATAAAAACAATTCCTCTTTTGTTATCTCTTTGATGTTGTATTTGATGTCGTCATTAATCAAATATACCATTGTACAACAATACAACTCTAATTAATTACAACAATACAATATAATTACACTCGGACAACTATAATTACACTCGGACAACAAAGGGAGGGCACTTTTATAAGACAGTAATTATCGGGTTATGCTCCTTGGCGGCGCCGTCCTTGTGCCGTCGATGCGCCGTCAATGCGCCGCCAAAATACTAATCATTTTGACCCTACTACACTACTAATGACTACTCACTACTCAAACATAAGTAAGCGAAATTGATGTCGTGTGGATAGGTGGCAGCCCTGATTTTTATCAATGATTTTGGTTTTAAAAAGTACGACCTATACGTCAGTATCTATGCCATAAGTCTTGGGAAAGTCATGTATTTTACGCAGGAGTGTGGGGAGCGCAGAAGTGCACGAAAGATGCGAACGGCGTCCTGAGGTACAATGGTCTGCCGTGTGCCAGCACAACTCGCAACGACAATGGACGTAAAGGAGCGTGTGGGTGTGGACCAAAAAACACAGGTAACTTTAATTATTAAGAGTAAGTTTGTAAAAAAAACTATGTTAACAAAATGCCGCTGTTAAATATACTAAAAATCACGTGGAAAATAACGCACCAGCAAAGTTGCACGAGATTTCATTTTTTTTTTTTTATCAAATGATATACATTTTTTAATGAAAGCTTTTGACATAAGGTTTAAATACACATCGTTGAAAATATTCATTCAGGAAAATGGTTTACCATAGATTAGGTTACTTCTTTTAAATTTAAAAAAAAAAAACGAGGCACCGGAGTATTTATAACGAAACTATAATTTGTCTCTTTTGTTATCACTGTTATAGTCAAATTCAAACCAGTAACGTTTTAGTCCACATAGCAAAAATAAGGGGTCGTCCATAATTATGTCAACAAAATATGGGGGGAGGGTAGAAATGTTTGACAATGGGGAGGGGGGGCTAGATTAGTTGACTGGTTATTACATTATTTTAACTAATAAACATGAGTGTAAATTAAAATAGTTACATAATTTTTAGTTATAAAAAATTTTGCAATAAATGTTTGTTCTTCAATTTTATGTTATTAAAATAGATCATCACAACGTAAAATGTTGTTATATGTATTTATTTTATAATTTATATTAATACTTTTTGTGGGGGGGGGGGAGGGGGTAGAAATATTTATAATAATCAATGAGGAGGGTCATTAAAAGTTTGACAGTTGTTGACAGTTGTTGACAGTTGTTGACAGTTGTTGACAGTTGTTGACAGTTGTTGACAGTTGTTGACAGTTGTTGACAGTTGTTGACAGTTGTTGACAGTTGTTGACAGTTGTTGACAGTTGTTGACAGTTGTTGACAGTTGTTGACAGTTGTTGACAGGGTGAGGGGTAAACAAATTGCTTAAAAAGTTGTTGACGTAAGTAATGGACGACCCCTAAGTCCAGCCTGGAGCAGTTTAATTTTTCTTTCATTTAACCAAGGAAAGCAACATACAACAATAGTCTCCCTTAATATGTGTCTGCCCCATAGCTTGAAATACGTTACTAAATAGCGAATTCACAATGATGGAGCATATTTTTTTACACAACTAATTGGAGTAAATGATGACAGAAATCAACGAAACAATTTTTTTATCTTATGTCATAATATTTGCCATTAAATTGTATATGTACTGTTACTAACTATGTTTATGTATTGTCGCAGACACCACTTTTACCTGGAACTTGGCTTCGTATACTACCGCTGTTAATGAACACTTCTTTCGTGATAATAACTTGTTCTGTGGCGCAACTTGTGGCGCGTGTGTGGAGTTAACTCCAACAGGTGGGTAAGACATTGTTGTTGAATTTGCACTGGAGAATACAGGTAAGGGCCGGCCTTTAGGGTGTGCACGACCTGTGTGTGCCCTTGCACAGGAAGCCGGGGCCATAGGGGCGCCCAGTAACTATTTAAACTCCCTTATTTTATTATAGTGAAGTGTGGACCTCGAGTCCGGGATCGAGAAACGGTGTTCTAACTTTTCGTACAATAGCTTTTCATACAATGAAAGCTGCACTCTTAATTTAGATACTAGCACTGGGGTTGGGACCAACCGAAAGTGCGTGAAAATTAATTTATTTATACCGTATTTCCTTGTGCGTCTAACAAATTAATTATTTCAGCAGAAAGAATCTGGGGAACAAAAAGCTTTCCGGGGCGCAAAATCACAAGCGCAAAACAGAAAAAGTACGCCGTAATCAGAAAAAGAGCGGAGCCATACAGGGACAGGGAAGGGGGCGCCGAACGGGTGCTTCGCACTGGGCGAAAGTTGACCTAAGGCTTAACTTTGGCGCCCCTTACAAGTATCATTTAAGGGAAAAAATCTATTTATTCGGTAATGAGTTTGTTACCTATGTTGTTGTTTTTCTTTTTAACAAACAATAAACAACAACATAGGTAATAAACTCATTACCGAATAACTAGTTTTTTCCTTTAATGATTAAACGTATTATAAGGGGCGCCAAAGTTAAGCTTGCACAGGGCGCCAGCAACCGTCGGGCCGGCCCTGTTCAGGTTGGCTGAATACGCCCAGTAGAAAACACGAACTCTTCTCGGCCTGTTGGCTAAAGATCATGATTTGGGGTGGGGGGGGGTCGTCTGTTCTTACCCCGCATGCTAACCAAACACGTGCAAAGGAATGTAACATCTTTATTGGTTTTCTGTCTCGGTTGGGATGATTGGTAGAGCAAATGAGAGAGCCACATGGCCAAGAGACCCGTAAGGGCAGATACATGTCGTTTGTCATCACTCTATACAGTGGTCATGCGTCATCACTTTTTATAGTGGTCCCTGGTCATCACTTCATATGGAGATCCTTGGCCACCACTTCATATGGAGATCCTTGGCCACCACTTCATATGGAGATCCTTGGCCACCACTTCATATGGAGATCCTTGGCCACCACTTCATATGGAGATCCTTGGCCACCACTTCATTTTAAGGTCCTTGGCCATCACTTCATATCGAGGTCATTGGTCATCAATAACAGTATTTTACAGGATGATTGATTATTTTTCACCGGAGAAGACGTGATGTCTTAATTTAAACAAGTGATTTAAGCCAAGTTTTGGGGGTCAGACAATTTAAACGGAGGGCTTGTTAAAATCTGCTGAAAACATGTCGACATTATTGTTACATATTTAATTAACCTTATGAAACGAATACCATATTAAAGATAGGGAAAACTTCAGAAGTATACCAATTCCATAGAAAGTAAAGTCACTTGAAAAAATAGCTTACGTCCTGTCGCACTTACCTCATTAGTAATGAAATGTTTTGGAAAATTTATCCTTAGACCCATTTTAAATGAAGTACAGCAAAAACTTGATCCCCACCAATTTGCTTATAAATCTGCCAGAAGTTCCGAGAAGTTCTTACTATTTTTTGAAAGGCTTTATTATCACCTTAACAGCCCTAAAAATATGTTAGCGTTTATTGGAAGCTCGACAGAGAGGAAAGAAACACTGAATTCAAACACCGGGGATGGAGTACCTTAGGCGGATAGCATTGACGCAATGGAATTTACGGCAACTCGGTAATATCTGAAGATGAATCGCTTGTACCTCAACTTAGTGGCATGGGCGCCCGCAGAAAACTTTCTAAGGGGGGGGGGGCAAGAAATTCGATTAACTTTCCAGGGGGGAGGGGGGGGGGAATTTTTAGTAAAGTTTTAATATAGTTTTAATTTACTGTAGCGTATTTGTATGTTGAACGGACGGACAGGACTTCAGCTTATTTACTTTCTCTTTATTTTCTCTTTCCTTAAATACATTTTTTGTCTATTTTTGTCTAAAATATTTTTATCCAATCAATCC